AGCTTATTTAACAAGTTATGATGTTGAAAATAGTGCATGTTCAGTATATCAGAGTATATCAGATTAACGAGCAGTTTAAGTTAATCGTCAAAATCTTCGTTCTTTCATTTAACAGCTTTCGTTGAGATGTATAAAAGAGTTGTATTATACATCTACAGCGTACGATTACGGTTATTTTTATCAACAATATGCCAAGTTGAAGTTTTTTGTTTTGAAAATTCACATTGAAATTGTTTGCGAAGCTTTTATATTATCATCAGATAATAATCATTAGATTACACAAAAGGATTCTCTTTAAAACAAGACGCTTTCAAGATTTGTAAGCCAGATGGAGTTTAAGAGACATGACAGTTTCAAAGTATGTAGTCAATCGTGCGGATTACTAGAATTTTGACAATATTGTCAAATTTTCTCTAGAATTTCAGCAATTGTCGAAACTCTTGGGGAATTTGGGCAATAAAAATTATATAACATCGATCATCGTATTTTTTATTTGTGTTGTCGAAAGTCCATGTGGAATTTAGACAATATATTCACATCAGTTGCAACTGTAATGAATCAGTTATATCTCAATTAATATGATATCGAATTGTTGGATTGTGAATAAGAAAAATTGCTGTCTTTTTCATAACGAGTTTATATGTATACATCACTACACGTATACAGAAAAAACGGATTTGTTGTAACTGTCGTGTATATTGTCTAAATTCCGGTAGAAATTTGACAATAAAATATCGATCAATGGTAGTCATCAACTAATAGAGTAATAATTATTATTGTCGAGGTTCTTGCGGAATCTTGACAATTGCCGTGGGGAAAATTTGACAATATTGTTGAAATTCAGGTGGCGAAATTTCAGTTTACCAAGCGTACATTTAAGTCTGTTCTTGTTATCTCTGCACAACAAATTCAGAGAGAAAATAGAACTGTAATAATCTTGAGAGTTTACTAAATAGTTTTAAATTGTCATATCTCCTAAATCTCATGCATTGTACAAACCTCAAACGCACCTCATTTTGAAAACAACTTTTTTGTTTAATCGGATGGTAGAGAACACTGTGACCCAAAATGCACCTAGTCACACCAGACGTACTTTAAATGAGCATTGTGAATTCAAATATATGACATCTACTGAAGTTTCATATCTCAACCAAAACAAAAAGCTTCAACTTGGCATATTGTTGATAAAAATAACCGTAAAAATAATCATTAGATTACACAAAAGGATTCTCTTCAAAACAAGACGCCTTCAAGATTTATAAGCCAGTTGGTGTTTAACAAAATATGACAATTTCAATGTGAATTTTCAAAACAAAAAACTTCAACTTGGCATATTGTTGATAAAAATAACCGTAATCGTACGCTGTAGATGTATAATACAACTCTTTTATACATCTCAATGAAAGCTGTTAAATGAAAGAACGAAGATTTTGACGATTAACTTAAACTGCTCGTTAATCTGATATACTCTGATATACTGAACATGCACTATTTTCAACATCATAACTTGTTAAATAAGCTCATTTCAAAACATTCATGGTAACAAAATCTTTTTATGTGATTATCGAGAAATTAATTGTATTATGTTTACATGCTATACCGTAACTTGTCGCGTTTTTTCGAATGACACCTATTTTCAAAGTGTTTATGACTCTTAAGGTGGGGAGGAGGGGTAGTTTGCGTCAATGCAAAAGTTGTTCATTGCATTCATCTCTACCGGATGACATATTTTGTTTTCCCCAAAACTTACTAATTAGCAGTGACTTTAGCCCACTTCTAGAAATATTTGATTCCTAGGCGGTTTATTACTGTGCTCACGCAAGCCATTTTTTTAAATAACTTTTGACTAACAATAGTTAAAGAGTTGCGGTCTTCGGCATTCGATAGCCAAGACACCGCCGCATCTTTATGTAACACACGAGCTTTCCAAAAGAGTTTTAAAAGCCGGTTTTCCGAGAGATCTCTGGAAAACCGAGTCATAACTCTGAAATTCGCAGGATAAATAAATTAATCTTTTCGCATAGATAGATAGCCCAAAGTGCTTTCTACAGAACGGGTACCAAGCGAGATCTTGGTGTCCAGCGGTTCAGATGTGGTATCAGGCGTCTGTCGAGCCCCAGGACAGGTATTCGATGACTTGCGGTAACATGAAAAGCGCATGAAACATACGTAGTCAGCGACGGTGAATCTGATGATGGTGCTTGTTTTTGGAAAAGAATTCCAAAACATAGGTTTACGTTACGAATTTCAGAGTTACGGCTTGATTTTCCAGAGATCTCTTGGAAAACCGGCTTTTAAAACTCTTTTTGAAAGCTCGTGTGTTACATAAAGGTGTGGCGATGTCCTGGCTATCGAATGCCGCGCGGTGACGCTCCCCTTAAACAAAAGGTTTGCTCAAGCTGCAACTTGCAGGCTATACTTATCTAGACTAAATCTAAATTATTCATGAATTTTGTCAAAATCTGTGAGACTTGTTAAGCATTGTTTGTTATAGTCAATTGTATTTCTTCTGCAGTAATTTTTAGAGCTTTATATTGTTTGTCGATTTACCTGTAGAACAAACACATCATCTGTTTCTTTTCTAGGTAATAACTGACAGTGTTCTTGATGTTCGAAAATCAAACATATCTAACAATTCTTTATTAACTGTTCAAGATTGGGCCCAATTAAACCAACTTCAAAAATCTTATTCAAATGCATTTCCATCCAATATATTTCCTTATCGTCCATTCACATTAACTGACAGAATGTCAGCAATGGTTTATACGATCGATCTTCAAAATTTTGTTGCATTAAAACTCATAAACTATTTGAAAAGCGTATGCGAATTTAAATTACTTGACGAAAATGATCGTTTAATTCTCGTTAAACATAATCTATTAGGATTGTTCATGCTACGTGCAACACTACAATATGACACTGTTCAAGAAATTTTTTGCGAACCAGATGCTGATGATGAATACGCAAGGCATTGTAAAGACGTGCTTATTTATTGTTACGGTCTTGAATTTTATCAGGATGTTGTGAAAATTATGCGTTTACTCGTCGATTTAACTGAACGTGATCCAATCATTGTTGAACTATTGTTAATCATAATGATTTTTACTAAAGGTTTATCAGCTCATAATCGTGATTTAACTGAACCCATTCTAGCAAATTTTGCTCCAGTCTATCAAGCTCAATGCACCTATACAAGTCTTTTATGGCGTTATATGTTACAAAAATATGATTTAACAATGACAGTACACAAGTTTTCATCATTAATTGCACAAATAATGAAAATTCAAGCGTTATCCTACGATTTTCAGCAATATATTAGTAATCAAGTTGATATTAATAAAATTAATCCGTTAATGAAATCACTGTTACAACTCAGTTAACGTAACTTCATTTTTTATTTTATTGTCCTTGTAAAGATGATTCAAAATAGTGTGGCATTTATTTTTAGGTCTAAAAGTAGATCTGAAATTTCGACAAATCGAATTTAACTTAACACTTGAGTATAATACATCCCAATGCTATATTTTATCCTTTTTCCAACATCAGGTAATTTAATAAAACTATTGACGTTAAACATTTTAAATTCAAAGATAATGTTTCAACGTATACTGTTATTAAAAGATCAGACCTGATATGCACACGGTATCTCACATATAAAAGTTGGCCCAGCAGTCCTGTCTCATTCAGTATTTTCTTAATATCTCGGTCAAGGTTGATCGCCGAGTGTCAGTCTTTTTTTTAAAAAAATCTCATTTAATTCTCTACACAAAACATGTGGAATATTTCTTTATATACATACTATAAGAATAAAAAGATATAGAGGAAATATGGAAAAGCTTCAATATCGATTACTTTCAAATCGAAAAAAAAGGTTTTTCAATTTCAGTCCCTTATATTTTGCTGTATAAAAAAAGAGAAAATGGCCATTTTGTAGTTCTTGAACAGCTCTATCAACTGGCTATATTTAACCTCTTCATAGGCTCACGTGGTCGCAGGAGGATTTTTTTTCTTTTAACAATTTTGCTCGAAATCATCATGCTCTAACCGCAGTTTTGAGGCACTTAGGAAAAGGAAGAGGACGGATAAGGTAGGATTCCCGCACCCAATGGAATTGCTTTTTTCCCATCAGAAACATGTCAGCGGGTTATTTGGAACATTTTCTACGGCTTAATTTCTCGAAATTTTCTTGGAAGGTTTTTGACGCCTTTGGATTTCAAGAAAACTTTTTTCTCACATTTTTGTAATAATACATGGACTAGATGCAGGATTTTTTGCTGATGACGAATATCGCATCGAAAATTAAAAAAAGTTATGTTTTCATTGAAAAAAGCGACTTCTACTGATTAGAGGGGACAGCGTGTGTATTTCGTATTCTATCTTACCATCACTACAAAAAAGCTTTTAATGCTGCAAAATATGCAGAACTGTTTGCTCTTTCACAATATGTTGCTGAAAAGGCTTTTGGTTTATGTTATGAGATCGAAAAACTCAGAGTACGATCCGAAATCCGGAAAAACTTTAAATTTAACCTTGAATTTTTTCTATTGAAATCGAAGGAAACCACCGTACCAGTTCAAATTTTTACAGTAGGTGTAAATTTCTATGCTCTATCGAGTGAGCATGCCAGAAATATAGAAAAAGGTGTGTATCATATTCAAAAGTCAGAATTTTGCGAAAATTCGCAGGTTTTTGATAGTATTTGTTGAATTTCGCCATCAAAATAACTTTTAACGTCAAAATGAAGGCGATATACAGAATTTGGGTGAGAAATTGAGTTGAATGAGATATATTTCACATGTTTCCTGCAACTTCGATGTTGGCGGGGAAAATTCGACCTCACGAAAATCAAGAAGTGGAATAGTTCGTTTCGCACTTCTAACGACTGTTTTTGGACCTAAACCATAAAAACATGTCTAAAAAGTCGAAATGTCTTAAAAAGAGTGCGAAATGAACTACTCGTGAAAGGGACTAAGGTTGAATGTTTCCCGCCAACCAGTTTTCACTCAAATTTCCTTTCGATATACTGCACATGTTCGAATTTCACAGAAGTCATGAAATTTTCTTTGAAAAAAAGCAATTTTTGATCGATATATTTGTTACAATCGGCAAAAGCAACCCTGATGTTTTTTCAAAAAGTAAAACAGATAAGATTCAGTTCTTGCATCATTTTTTAGTCTCACTCATGCTGAAAAAAGTGAACCATTGAGCACTTTTCATTGGGCTTTTAACGAAGAAACAGCGGCTGTAACTATCGTTTCATTTGGAGTAAAAGTTGCTCTGCCTTATTTTCTTCAGAAAAGTTTCAAAAACTTACTTTTTCAAGAAAATATTTACATTTTATTAGCTTATCACTGTGCTGCACCTTTTTTTCTAGGTTTTTTTAACGGTGACGATGACAGAAACGCTCTAATTGGATAGATACGAATAGTACCACATATCAACATCATGTCAACATCATGAAATTTTCATATGTTGTTTCTTTTCTGATCGTTTCGCTTTTTTAGAAATCTAATCGTTGTGACAATATAGTTCAGTAACATCATGAGTGGACATTAGTCTATGTAATACCTGAAGCACTATGAGCACTATATGATTTTATATATTTCTTCTGTTATACAAATATCAAAGAGAAGCGCTTTGCATTATTTTACGATTGCTCTGTTTGCTTCCATCATAATTTGCTGGCTTCTGTAAAATGTTTTTCACTTCTACTATAGAATGGATCATTGGTTCTATCTCTATGAAACGTTTTGACAATAAACCTACCAATGGTGTTCTTTCTGTTTTCTGCAACTTTAAGATGACACTTAATATACTTGATCTCTATTGTTTTAGCTGTTCAGTCATAGGTAGGAATGCACCAAATCCTGCGACTATCTCTCAAAGGTTGCATATTTTTGATATTTAAAACCCTAAACTTTAGCAAACTTTTGTGTCAGACATAACCAGTTTTATCTGTTCTATCCGAAACTAGTGT